ATTTTCCACTCTTGCAATCAAACGCACCCTAAGTGTTTTGTATGATCAAAAGAACTTTTAAATGAAAATCACTTGAAATAACATCCTTAGAAAGTAAAACATTTTCTTTACACCCATTTTCCACTCTTGCAATCAAACGCACCCTAAGTGTTTTGTATAATCAAAAGAACTTTTAAAGGAAAATCACTTGAAATAACATCCTTAGAAAGCTCTTCCACAAAAAGTATAAGCAAAAACAAAATTCGTGTCAAACGGGCTTAGCTTCCTCAATAAGATTTTCGACAAGAAGAAGAATTCATGCCAAATGGGTCCATCATACAATGTATCAGCAGCAGCAAGCACCGTGCATTCCTTCACGAGATAAGTACTAATGTAGTGCATACAGCAAGAATCCAAGGATGAAATTCGACACCACAAACAATAATAAATAAAGGGGATGAAACTAAAAAAGAATGAACATCAATGGATTTTCCATATTTATATGCAATTTACAAAATCCCAGTTCTCGTTTTATTGAAGTGAATTAACAATTATACAGCATAGAGGTTTCTTAATGTACGTGGACGAACTTTTGGGATAGGATTTACTTCACTGGTGCAAGAATCGTGTAAATTATAAGGAAAGTAACTATAACAATAGCTCCAGCTAGAGTAAAACTTGGACTAGTCCATAATGTAAGATTTGACCTCTCTGTTCTTTTAATGGGATCAACTTCCTCAGAAAGTGGGAACTCGGAACGCCTAGGATTCCAGCTGACGTACTTGTTGGGCGAGAATTGGGAGAAAAAAGTCTTTCTTCCTTGTTTCTTGAAGCTTGACCAAGCTTTATCCCAATCTGTTGAGTATTTATCACCTATAAAACAACAGAATAACTTAAGTTAATAATGAAGTTTTTTTATTTTAACAATCATATAAAGGTCATCCATATTCAGATCAATGAATTTGTCGCAATTTCATAGCCATATAAGGAAACACATTGGTGTGACGGCTTTGTTTCTGCGTCTGACAAACGACACTATTCATGTGTGCACAATAAACCGTGAGTAAAGATAGGAACATAAGAAATCCAGGCAAAAATCTCGCTGATATAAACAATATTTACAATTAGTCGGTTCAAACGAAGATTAAATCCAAAAGTACCAAGCAAATCTAGGGACAGACCAGACGACAGCTCAGCTTATCCTGAAATTCTTTTTATCAACGGCTTATAACACCTATTGAAGGGCATGGCGTATAAAGTTATTATATTCATATGGAGTAGAATGTGATCGAGGTGATTTTTACAAAGCTGGAGACAGGTTAATGATGTTCCGCATAAGAATTAACACAGGTATAACTCGTAAGTGCTTGATAATCAAGATTTTATGTTACTATACACCCGGAGTGCATTCTAGGTTATGGTTAGTGCCAGAGAATTACATATATAGAGCTTTTGAAGTTGTCATGTGATTTTTATCCTCTCGCTATTGATTTTTTAGTATAATAAGTAATAATAGTCTGTAAAATATATTCACTATTCAGAGCAAAACGATCTTAAATAGTGTTTGCAAATTTTCTCTAGCTGCTGTTGTTGTTTACTTTACATGCATAGAATAAATTTTTCAGAATTGCTAAAAACAGATTGACAATTGCAGAACATGAAGAACAAAATGCATAAACATGAGCAGAATTCGGAATAGGAATGATCGAGGCGAGAACTAGACTCTCTGTCCTTAAGACGTTTTTACCCCGTCACACGGTGCTTACGATATGTGGTAAAGCGTCTCCCAACATACAACGATCAGACACTTGCAGAAGCAGCACTTCGACTGCAAGACAACGAACCAGAACCGGAAGTACTCTCTGTAGACTAATGCAGAAAGGAAGAAAATGTATGCAGAATGAATTCGTGAATTTTCTGTGTGTTTTCGATGAAAGCCTGGGGACCATTTAAATAGAGGAGAGAGTTGACGGTTGAGCAGTTTCCATATAACTCACCACTCACGCACACTTAACGCACGGTTTTTGGGACAGTCAAAGAGAGGAAATTAATTGAATTCGGATTTAAAAAATTTAAATAAATTTTATTCAAAAAATTAATATTGACACGGGCCCGGCCCAAGCTCACGAGCCGGCCGATCGGACGGACGGCAGCGATGGCTCACGTGTGGCCGTGGATTAGTTTAGACTTTGTCTAAGACTCCCCCCATTCAAAGACTATTGGTACCCCTTGGAGCCCAAACTCATTCCCAAACTTGAAACTTATTAAGTGGTTCCAAGTTGTGTTTGCAACCTATGTGGGATTGGAACATTTTTCCAATTCTCTCCCATTTATTCTTCCTATTTATTGTCCAACTTTCAACCATAATTTCTCATTCATATTGAAATAGTTTTTCACAATTAAATATTCTACACTCATCTACTCGGAACGTAGAATTTAATTGAACATTAATTTCGATAAATCGAACATCGGGTCCCACTTAAAATTGCGGTCAAAGTTGACCCAATTGACCCCACCATTTCCAACAGTTGTCAACTTTGACACATGGCATCCCAGATCAAAATCATCCGTATCACTAAATGTTATCCCCAAAATCGATATATTAGACACCAAAACAATCGACTATCTCAGTCAATACCAAGTAAAATGGAAACTGCTGTCGTTTAAGACCATGTTGTCCCTGATGAAAGAGAGTCATGCCTCAGATTTAATTAATAAGGTCAAGTCTAACTAGTAAAACATTATCATTCTCAGCCTGGTCTCAGCATGTCAGTGGCAGTTTAATGCCTTAGAGCCAAGCTGCGGCTCACCATTCAAATTATAAATTTGTGTAGGAAAATGCATCTTCTGAAACCATGAATAATTAAAAATGGAAAGAATAGTTAATTGGAGGAGAGAAACCCACATGATTTATTGTTCATGGACATGGAAAAATATTATCAACACTGTGCACATAGAATGAAATATTTATATATCCATTTATATAAAAGTTCCATGATAGGCAATAGAATTAATCTTAGATCTATGACTCAGCATATAGAACTAAATATCATGGAGGTTTGTCAAGATAGAAGTAGAGACTAATAAAACTCTTGCTCTTCTATCACAAAAGCAGAGGCATTTATGTTACCAGAATATAAAATTAAATTAAACTAAAAGAGAGGTGAAGGAGGAAAATCATCCGTGCCTAGTTCAGTACTAAGTCACGCAGTCAATACAGAATCATTTCACAGCCAAACAAATAGCTAAACCATCGCATTTTGTTCTTCAAGCCTATCTATCATTCACTGGTGCAAATTGCAAGAAGTTTCTACCAAAATTAGAATCGAATCCACTCTTATAAACTAATCAAAAAATGAATTGAAGGAGGAAACAATCCAGCTCTTACCAACAAATCACAAGCAACATTAATTTTCACTTGAATACAAAATATAAAATCTTAAAAGCTAATTAACAATTATTCAAAAAAAGAATGAGAACGGTAACCATATTTACTGGGTTTTATGTGAATAATCCACATACTAAAAGAACCAAAGAGTAACAACATAATAGGACTCCAATTCCAAAATAGAAAATTTTCATTAAATTTTAATATCCAACAAATACAAAGGTAGCCACATTCTTCGTAAGTTTGAAAAAATTACTTAATGGATTCAAATATAGTAGTAACAACACAATTGCTAATAATGTTTCAGAAACAAATCCAGAGGAGCTTTCAGGTTGCTAGAAAGCATAGATTTTTATTCTGATAGTGTAGGTAGAAGGGCATCTATTTTCTGTCCATTATCTTGAGAGATTAATAATGCTTCTCCCATTCATTGTTAAGGCATGGAACATTTAAATGAATATAGAAAGTGATTAAATCTCCAATATCACTTCTAGATCCTGCCTTTCAGGTGAAGATCTAAGGAACTTGAGCTGATCCAAATTATGGTCGTTAATGGACAATTTATTTAAAATGGTTTATGCAAATTGATAGAACAAGCGAAAGTCTGTTTTAGAGCATGTAAATATTAACCACATCTTTCATGAGTCACACAACTTTTCAACCGCACATTTCAAAAATTTCTATCACAATCTACTAAAAATATAATTTTAATCCCCACCAAACACCCTCTTAAATTGCTTGCTTTCATAATTATCCATCGGTGTTAAGTCTTGCATTNGATTAAAATCTGATTTTAATACAAGTCAAAGTCAAACGATCAATATTAATCACATCTTTCATGGGTCCCACAACTTTTCAACCACACATTTCAAAAACTTCTATCACAATCTACTAAAAATCTAATTTTAATCCCCACCAAACACCCTCTTAAATTGCTTGCTTTCATAATTATCCATCGGTGTTAAGTCTTGCATTTGGAATGAAAGTTGGATCTAATTTGGAAAATGAGATGTCTGAATGACCACTCAAGTTTGGTCATTTACAAAGCTCATGGAGACTTTCACCATCTATTGCCAACACTAAATCAAACATTTGACTCAAGCCACTTCAGACATTTCTTTCAGTTCCATAGTTATCACTGAAACTCTTGTAACCAATCAAGAGTCAAATTCCTTATTGCAATTGGCTGCAGAGTGAAATGGAAACAAAGCATCAATCCAATGCATCAGCTCTAAATTACATTTCATGTCAGAAATTATTTTAATACTTGAAAGAGACAGTAAAGATCAACGCCTAAGCATCTAAATTTTCCTCATACTTCATTAAGAGAGCAAAAGTGGATGAATAAACGATTACCTTGTTTTACGTATCTTCTTATCCTCCCTCTCCTAAAAATGAAAATAAAATGACATACATGATAAAATCACAACTGGACACATCAAGCAAGCCGGAATCACCATTAACATAAAGTATGGAAGCACCATAGAGAGCAACAGAGGTCAATAAAACTTCATAGTATTGGATAACAATAAAGAATGCACTTGACGAATTCATCAAAATATATCATACATATGGAAGAAAAAAAAAACCCCAGTATTATAGTACATTCAACTACCTCAATGACCCATCAATTACTAGTCCTTACTTATTTCTATAAATTTTCCTTCGTTTCTCCATATAACCAAGAAATTACAGCACAAATTATTGACAAACTTCAAAATCCCACGTGCATGCATCCATATACTAGTATGAATAGTTCAAAAAAATGTTACCTTTGTCTCCGTTTTGCTCGGGCGGCGGTGGCGGAGAGTCTCTTTTTGAGCCGCACGGTTTGAATGCCCTCTGGTTTCTTGAAGTATACCTTGAAACTTGTGAATAAAAGCTTCCTATTCCAAATCGAATATCCATTTGGCGTACCTATTATCCCTGTGATTTTTGGAATTGCAGCCACAAATTCGCAAATTATGTTATGAATGGTTTGCGCCTACAGTACAGGTGCTCTCAGGACCAGACAGTTTTTCACTGTTGTAACAAATGTGCTTTTGTGTGGTTGTAGGCAAAGTCGCTATATGAGGGAAAACGAGTTTACATTATTCAATAAACTCTTACTATTAAACGTGTTTAAAAAATTCTCATTCATACAATTTACCTAAAATTGAATATTGTGTGAATTCAATTATAATTATTCAAGTGTTCTTTTGTCTAATCAAAGAACAATTTTATGTTACATTTTCTAGAATCTCGTAGAAAATGTAAGTCTTAATTTTCTTAAATGTATTACTTGCATAAATTTTATAAAGAAATTTATTAGAATTATCAGTTACTTATATTTTATTCATTTTACTCTTTAAAACGTGTTTCGTGGGCATTGTATATGAGTTTTTAGGGTTAACTAAAGTTGGGGGAGCAACAATTGAAAATTTTGATTCAAAATTGTGCAAATTATTTTAGTTCTCTCTTCGATCAAATTATCAAATAAGAAAATTCAATAAGAATCATGAAGAATACATGCATAACGTTGAAAAATGTTAGATAATTTAAGTCAATCTTATTTTGATTTTAGTAATATCTCTTCTATATATAAAAAGTGGCTATGAAACGGAAGTTATTGTTTTGACAGAAATTCTTGTTCCACTTTTTCCA